AGTAATGCGTCGGATTTTAGCCAAGTGGTGGTGTTGAGTTTATGATGAAGCGCTTGCAGATTTTCACACCAGTGCAGCGACATACATACACAAACAACCGAAAAGTGTTGAAGTTTTTATTTATGTTGTTTACCTCCGGTTCGAATTCCAGTCTCTCTGTGTGCGCGTCCATATAACACGATATCCTGGGCTTATATCTGGCCATCAGAATCCTCCTCTCAACATCGTTGGGCCGCCTCGTTATATCCGGAAAGCCAAGTTTTTATGGTCAAGTGGAAATTTAATTCAATTTTGTTGTTCCCTTCTTCTGCTTCTTCTTCTTTATTTGCCACGGTCTATTTCTACCTCAAGATGTTGTCGTCCTGTGTATATGTGTGTGTTGTGGTTCATTTACATCCCAACAGGATTTGGTGCCATGTTTTTTTTTTCTCTCTGTGTTATGTTTTTCCTCTTCTTTATGGTTGCACATTTTCTTTTTTTTTTTGTGAAAAATGAATTTTCATTTGTTTTTTTTTTCCTCCTCCCTCTGCCATACATAGTTTAATATTTTGTTGTTTCTGGTTTTGTTTTATCGCCCACATCCTTTATTGTGTGTCCACATCATATAAATACTGGCATATGAATGTCCTTCCTTCCGCTTACTTGCTTCCTCTGCTATTTTGCCATTTTGCATGCATAGCCATGCATGTTGATATGGCTGCCATGTGATTGGTTATGTATATGTTTTGGCAGAGAGTCATGTGGCCAAGCCATGTGAAAAATGTGCCAAAAAAAGAACGATGCAGAAGGTGGAGAGGGTGATACACATAAGAGATATAATTTTGGAAAAAAAATATATTTAATTGGGAAGTCGGGATTTGCAGAGAGGCCTTAAAATTGTCCTTAAAGACTAACGTAGATTTAAAAAAAAAATTATTATCGAAAACCAAACATGGATTTTTTAAAAAATATTTTTCTGAATTAAATTCAAACGTGGATTTTTTAAAAATATTTTTTATTATCTAAAATCTAACGTCGGTTTTTTTAAAATATTTTTTTATAATCTAAAATCAAACGTGGATTTTTTAAAAATATTTTTTAATTATTTAAAATCAAACGTGGATTTTTAAAAACTATTTTTTAATTATTTAAAATCTAACGTGATTTTTTAAAAATATTTTTTTATTAATTAAAATCAAACGTAAATTTTTTAGAAATATTTTTTTATTATTTAAAATCAAACGTGGATTTTTTAAAAATATTTGTTTATTAATTAAAAATATTTTTAATTATTTAAAATCAAACGTGGATTTTTTAAAAATATTTTTTTATTATTTAAAAATATTTTTTAATTATTTAAAATCAAACGTGGATTTTTTAAAAATATTTTTTTATTATTTAAAAATATTTTTAATTATTCAAAATCAAAACGTGGATTTTTTAAAAATATTTTTTTATTATTTAAAAATATTTTTAATTATTTAAAATCAAACGTGGATTTTTTAAAAACATTTTTTAATTATTTAAAATCAAACGTGGATTTTTTAAAAATATTTCTTTATTATTTAAAAATATTTTTAATTATTTAAAATCAAACGTGGATTTTTTAAAAAATATTTTTTAATTATTTAAAATCAAACGTGGATTTTTTAAAAATATTTCTTTATTATTTAAAAATATTTTTAATTATTTAAAATCAAACGTGGATTTTTTAAAAATATTTTTTTATTATTTAAAAATATTTTTAATTATTTAAAATCAAACGTGGATTTTTTAAAAATATTTTTTATTATTTCAAAACATTTTTAATTATTTAAAATCAAACGTGGATTTTTTAAAAATATTTTTTTATTATTTAAAAATATTTTTAATTATTTAAAATCAAACGTGGATTTTTTAAAAAATATTTTTTTATTATTTAAAAATATTTTTTTGTTATCTAAAATCAAACGTGGATTTTTTAAAAATATTTTTTTATTATTTAAAAATATTTTTAATTATTTAAAATCAAACGTGTATTTTTTAAAAAATATTCTTTTATTATTTAAAAATATATTTTTGTTATCTAAAATCAAACGTGAATTTTTAAAAATATTTTTTTATTTTCTAAAATCAAACGTGGATTTTTTGAAAATATTTTTTTATTATCTAAAATTAAACGTTGGTTTTTTAAAAATATTTTTTTATTATCTAAAATCAAACGTGGATTTTTTGAAAATATATTTTTATTATTTAGAATCAAACATGGATTTTGTAAAAATATTTTTTTTATTATTTAAAATCAAACGTGGATTTTTTAAAAATATTTTTTTACAATTTAGTGCAAGGATTAAAACAATATTTTCAAAGATCCACCCTTACCCTTACGTCCTTGCCAAAAAAATTGAGTTTCCCATTTAATAACCCTATTTTTCGTAGTCGAGTCCTATGCTTTGCTTTTACATGCATCAATTTGCCATGCATACACGCTTCGGGGGCAATGGCGGAGAGTAGTCTTTCGTCAATATACGCTTCAGTGATGCAGAAATTTTGTGCAATGAAAGCAAAACGAAATTTAACAACGAAACGAAAAGTTTAATTCCTTCTGCCCAGATTATCCTTCCATTTCTAGCGGTGTTTATCGATAACACAGCTAACTGATTGACTGACTAGTCGACAAAATAAAAAATTATTAAATATGTTAAAGAATTTTATAGAGAATTAGGATTCTAAGTTCGTTACGGGCGCCACTTTTCCATATTAAAATTAAAATACATTTTTTGCCAAATGTGTTCGTGAAAAAAATTCTAAGGTCATCTTATCCCCTGTGCAATTTGATAAAATATATATTTTACATGTACTCCAGACTCTGCTTGGGCGCCAGTTAGTTTTAACCAATTGTACCCAATTCCCTATTCTTCTAAATATATTAAATGAGGGCAACATGATGGTGATACTGTCGATGAAAAATTGATTTGTTGATCACTAATTGCACAATTGAAATTATTTTTTAAATTTAGGTCAGAGCTTGGGCGCCAATTTTGGTATGAATTTCAAACTTGTGCATTTATTTAACAGTATTTTTTTTTTTTTTTTTCAATATTTTGTTGTTGCAAAATCGTCAGGCAAAATCCCATTATTGTTGTTTTTATAAAAACAACATTTTGTTTATGAGTGGAGAACGATGGTAATGTTTACCAGGGGGTAAGGCAGGGAATACCTAGGTTTCGGAAAGAGCCACCAATCCTCATCAGTTCCCTTGTTTTTTGTCTGGGATATTCTCCCCAGAAGTTATTTTAAAAATAACTTCTATGACAAAAAACATTTTTTACCCAAGTGACGAGATCGTAAGCTCAATAGAAGAGGAACAAAAGAATTATATAAAACTAAAATTCTTTTGGAAAATCTTCTAAATCTTACAACCGCACTTATAAACATTTACATCTTTCTCCACTTTGTTATGCTTTCGTTCAACCTGAACGAAGTAACATAACCATGTAAGTTTGTTTTGTCTGTTACAACAAAAACCCCTTCGTCGACCGTGCCTGTGTCTATTAATAGAACAGTGTTTGGCTTGCTTGTTTGGGATACCATAGTATTTTGTTGTTGCAAAATCGTCAGGCAAAATCCCATTATTGTTGTTTTTATAAAAACAACATTTTGTTTATGAGTGGAGAACGATGGTAATGTTTACCAGGGGGTAAGGCAGGGAATACCTAGGTTTCGGAAAGAGCCACCAATCCTCATCAGTTCCCTTGTTTTTTGTCTGGGATATTCTCCCCAGAAGTTATTTTAAAAATAACTTCTATGACAAAAAACATTTTTTACCCAAGTGACGAGATCGTAAGCTCAATAGAAGAGGAACAAAAGAATTATATAAAACTAAAATTCTTTTGGAAAATCTTCTAAATCTTACAACCGCACTTATAAACATTTACATCTTTCTCCACTTTGTTATGCTTTCGTTCAACCTGAACGAAGTAACATAACTATGCTTGCCATCATTAGCCCTACGAAATTTTTAAGGAATTATTGTTTACACATCCCACAGGCTCAGCTTGGGCGCCACTTTTTCTCAATTCTTTGTAGACAATTTCCGATACTTCTAAATATTTTTGTGAAGAACATTTTATGGTAATACTGTGGATGGCTAATTTATTAGTTGATCTCTGCTTGGCCAATGGAAATTATTTTTAAATTTGGATAACATCTTGGGCGCCAATTTTTATAAGTGCTTCAAATAAACGTGCATACGTTTTAACTATTTTTTTTTTCAGAATATAATTTCCTTGCCATCACGAAACGTTTAAGAAACTATTGTTTACATATCAACCAGGCTCTGCTTGGGCGCCACTATATCTTAACCAAATGTAACCAATTTCCTATACATTCGATTATGTGTTCATTAAGGAAACTGAATAGTTATGCTTGGACAAAACATTTATTACTTTATTCCTACTTGGCCAATGGAATTTACTTTTAAAATTTAAATCCCAGCTTGGGCGCCAATTTTTAAAGATTTTAAACATTTTATAGGTGTATTCTTTCAACATAAAATTTGTTTGTCAACATTGCCCGCCAACGCGGTTTAACTTAAAATATATAAATATATAATTTATAAATATTTTAAACATATCTCCAATTTTTGCTTGGGCCAAATGTAGCCATTTTCCGATTGTACCAAATATATTCGTGAAAGCATCTATTTGGTGATGCTGTGGATGCCAAACTAATTATCGATCCCTTCTCGGCCAATGAAAGTTATTTTTATATATTAGGTCTTACCTTGGGCGCCAATGTTTAATGTGCGTTTTTAACACCTGCTTTTATTCCAAATAGAAGCATTTTTTCAGAATCAAATCATGCTTACCAGGATAATTTTTCGAGAATTGTTTATGATATATTGTTTACATAACCCCCAACCTCTGCTTGGGCGCCACTTTTTGTTTAATAAATCTAATATTTATTTATTTGTAATTATTTCTCTTTCTTCCCTTTACTAATCGAGTGTTTTATTTTCTGTTTTTTTTTTCTCTTTGCAGGTAGGTGACAATGTATGTATTTTCCGATCACAAAAAACAAAAATGTTCAAAAATTTTCTATTGACAAATAATCGAAGGTAAACCTTTAAAAATAAATGAAAAAAATAGTCTCTATTCTCATGGACGACTGATTCAATTTGGAGCAAATTTGAAATATTTTGTTGCTTTTTTTTTAAATAAAATTTTATCTCATGACTCACTTTTGGAAAAAAAATTACCCCAAATCCACTTAGAACTCTTGTATTTTTTTGCTGAATTTTTAAATCGATTTTGTTTTCTCTTCTTAATCCAAAAAAAAACGAAATTATTATTAACCGTGCAATGTGACCAGCAATCGAGTGAACAACCCAAAGAAAAACGTGTAATGATTCATCGGAATATTAGCCATGTAGAAAGTTTGTTTTTGTTGTCGTCGTTGTTGTTGTATAAATCCATAAATAATAACAGCAAAAAGCAATGACCATTGGCGAGTGAGAAAATATCGAAATAAAGAAATTGTTCATTTTCTGCATTAGACGACGACGACGGCGATGAGTAAAAGTAGAAATCAAATGATTCACAAAATATATTTTTGAATTGCTATTTTCTCACATTTTCTGCTATTGAGACCGACAGACCCGACAGACATCAATGGAAAAAGGTGAAATTCGCATGGAAAAATGAAATTTGTCGCCGTTTTTTTTCCAAACCACAGTGGGGCCAGAAATGTTAAAAAATTGCAGGCTTTCCGAAAATATTTCAAATTAAGGCACAGTTGCTTTTCTTAAAAAGTGTTCTTAAATATTTCAAATTTTTGTTCCAAATTCATGGAAAAAATAATTTTTGAATTCCAAAATTTCAAAAAAAGAAAAAAATAAAAAATTAGAAAAATCTGCTCCCAAATTTTTTGAAAATTTTCCAATTTCCTCCACAAAATTCTTTAAATTAGAGCAATTAAAAACTTACAAAACCCTCTAGTTTTCCCCCAACTTCAAATCACTGTCCAACGAATTGTCCACTTCTCACTGATCGTATTGAGTGGTGGGAATTGTGTTCACAATGCGATGGCGATACACCTCATCGAAAAGAATGTTTTATTTGGCTAAAAGCCAAAGAACTGTTAGCGTTGATAATGATAATTATGCGAGAACGCAAACAATTTTTGTGAAATGACAGCAGAACACCGGTTCCATCCTCCCAACCCCCCTGTGGCTCTCACACTCCGCTCTACACAAATTTACCTTTTTAAAACGAGGAGCATAGTTATGATTAACATTTCGACAGCCACAACAACAGCAAAGAAAAAAAATATAAACAAAAAAAAAAAATCATTAAAAAACAGGTACTATAAAAATTAAGAGTAATAAAAAACAGAGACATTAAAAGGAGAACTTCTTTAAAATTAAAAAAAAAAAAAAAAAAATAATATAAATATTAATTGTTTTTTTTTTTTTTTTTTTTTGAAATTTCAAAATTTCCATCAATATGGACCGTAAAAAATGTTTGTAGTTTTAATATCATTTAAATTATGCACATAACACCTTTCGACCAAAAAAATGTCACCATGAAAACGGCCTTGAAATTTGTAAAAAACAAAAAACAAAAAAAAAATGCAAAAAAGTGATGCAACTGAATTAAACAAACTTGTTTATTGTTCAAAAAGTAGTAACATGTTTGTGAGCCTAAAATGTCACACGCACACCAAAATAAAAGAAGATCTGAAACTCATTTCCATTTAATGACGACAATGTCTTGATGAGACAACATAATTCCGAAACCTATTTTAAATGCTAATTCAAGTTTATGGCATTAGATTCCAATCTTTTTCTTTTTTAGGGGGTTTTGAATAGTGCGTAGTGACAAATCACGTTTTTGTCAGCTCATTATTTTTGTCGAAATCAGCCTTTGATAGTTTTTTAAAAAATATTAAGAAATGTTTAGAAAAAAAATAAATTTTTTTTGAAAAAAAAAATGTTTCGCAGAAATCCACTTAAAGTAATTTTCAAAAATATTTTGAGAATATCCACGTCCAATGATTTAAAAATGTTTCTCTTTAAATTATTTCTCAAAAAAAAAAAAAAAATAAATAAATAAAATATTAAAAACATGTTTCGTAAATTCCATGGCTAATGGTTTTATAAATATATTTGTAAAAAGGAATCTGAAAGATTCGTCGGCTAATAATTTTTGTCTAAATCCGCCTTTGATAGTTTTTCAAGAAATTATAACAAATGTTTTGAACAAAAACTTTTTTGTTTTTTGAGAAAAAATAACTGAAATTGCTTCGGAGAAATCCATTTATGGTTATTTTTAAAATCCATATATACGAAAATCCACGTCCCATGATTTAAGATATTTTTTTCTTTAATGATTTCTAAAAATAAATTGTTTTGAACATTCTATGTCTATTGGTTTTGTAAATATATTTGTAAAAAAAACGGATTTGTGTTCAGAAAATCCAATAAAAACAGGTTTTAAAAAAATCCAAGTTTAGTCATTATTAAAAATGTTTTTAGAAATTTCAAATTCAGTTTCTTTTAACAAGTCCAAAAGTATGAGGCGGTTTAGCCGACAAATGTTTACTAGGGTGTCAAATAAAAAAAAAACCAATTCGGCCATGTGCCCACATTCAAATTTCTGTCCAAAATTATTTCAACGTCTCCCTAAAACCATCAGTGACCTTTATATCAAAATTCAGAAGTTCTGCTCAATCTTTTCAGCCAATATTAAATCTAATAATATTTAGTGCACATATTCTAAACAAAAATCCCAAAAATTGTGCCTTTTAGTAATTTTCGTACAATAACCGTACACATTTCCAAACCACAGACACCAACAGTGACATCTATATCGAATTTCCGGATTCCAGCTCTATCCCTTTACCCAATACCAACTTTAGTACTTTTCGTACAATTATAGTACACATTTCCAAAACCATCTTCATATTTAATTTCCAGATACCAACAGCGACATCTACATTAAATTTCAGGATTTCGTTCAGCTCTATTCCTTTACTCAGTACCAAAATTAGTACTACCAAAAACACCACCATTTCTCAATTCCAGACCTCAGAATCAAATTTGAGGATTTTACCTTCATCCCTTCATCCAATACCGAATTTAGTACCAATTTGTACTTTTCGTACAAATATAGTACACATTTCCAATACCACCACAATATCCTATTTCCAGATACCAACGGAGACATCAACATATGATTTGAGGTTATCAGATTTATTCCTTCACCCAATGCCAAATTTAATACCATTTGGTACTTTCGTCCAATTATAGTACACTTTTCCAAAACCACCTCCATATGTCCACGCTACACATGAAAAGCCACCCTAATATCAAATTTCAGGTTTCAAACACTGCCTCTTCACCCAATGCCAAATTATATCATATATAGTACTATTTAGTACTTTTCGTACACATTTCCATTCTCTTTGCACCAAATCCGGTCCGATATCGGTCCACTCCATCAAATACCTCCCCTACAAAGGGTAAAATTTTAAATAATCGTATCTCTTATAAAATGTGATGATGTAAGAGTCCGATTCGCATCACAATATTTTTATTGACCCAAAGTCTGGTGTGAAGATGGAATATATCGGTCCACTCCTTCTAGTACTTCCCCCACAAAGGGTCAAAATTTTGAAAACCCATTAAGCTCATAAAACACAAAATTAACATCCTATTCTATACAACTTTCTACATCTCAATATATCTATCAAGACAAGATCTGTTATAAAGATGGTAGAGATCGGAACATTTTTTTCTGGGTTCAAGATTTCAAAAAAGGCTCAAAAAATGGAAGTAAGCATCCAACTCTCTTCAAATTTCACAAATACAAACATCTTTGCTAACACTAGATCTCTTGTGAAGATGATAGAAATCTACCAACCTCTTCTGATACCTCACCCACAAAGGGTCACCATTTTCAATATTTGCATGTGTCATAACTTGCAAAACAAGTTAGCGATTTTTCACAACTAAATATTTTTCTTAACCAGAAGCATGAGATGAATATGGAATTTATGATTTCGAATAAAATTGGATATAAATTTACGATTTTTTTGTAATTTTTGCATTTTTAAATACTTCTGTCGACTATATCTGGATGTAGTCGATGTAGTCCAAACCTGGCACTTCCCAATATTTATGTCATATTTATTTAGGTCTGATACGAAATAGACACTATTGGCGCCCATTCCTTCGGAACCTACTGCATAGAGGATCAACAATTTGAATAGTCATAACACAAGTCTAAATATATTTAATTAATCGAGCATTGGCTGAGGGTATGCATTTGCAAAATCGACTTATACTTTTTAACTTGTCCTATATAAAATATTTATATTTTTTCCAATTACTTTTATAAAAAAACAAATTAATTTCCTTGCTTTCAACAACATTTCCGCCAAATTTCAACTCCCACATAACTTTGACCGTGAATTTGTTAAAAATTCAAATTTAGTTGCATATAATCGCAATATGCCAATTTCATTGTGGCATCGCGACGCGTTTGCATAAAAACTCAATAAATAAAAGTCCAGTGCAAAGGTGTTTAAAAGAAGTCACATGGCGGAACAAGGTTTTGCCGTTAATTGAATTTGAAATTTTAATTTAATTTATTGCCAGCTAGACACACGACTGAACACCGCGAACAAATTTTGTTTTTTTTGAATTGAAATAATAATAAATTAGAAAGCAAATTAAGAGGAATGACAAAAAATGTAAGTAGATGTCGAATTTCGGAATAGAACAAAGGAAAAACAAAATAAATAAAAAATTTCAATATTTTGAAAGTAATTTAATTCTATTACAAAAAAATTCCGTAGGACAACTGAAGTTGGATTTTTTGCTATAGCAAAAATGGCCGAGCAGAGATGCGCATTTTTATGTTTTCCATTAAAAAATTACCTCCAACTCAGAAGTAAGATGAGATTTTTACGTCTAAAATATTGCCTTTATAGGCGACTGAGTTTTGTTTATTTTCTGCAGAGAAAAATTTTGGTAGAGAACTTAGGTTTG